GGGCTACTGCCGCCTCGATTTGAGAACGATGTTTTTCGTGTCGGGTTTTGCGGTACTAAGGGCGGTAGTTGTGGCGGTAGTACCGCACCTACCCCCACGGTAGTACCGCCCTGGGGTCAGGCCCCTGTCAGCGCGGCAGTACCGCTGGGTTGAGCGGTAGTACCGCCCTTCCCTAGCGGTAGTACCGCTCTGTGCGGGGCTGCTCAGTGGGATAACGGTTGGATTGTTCCCCCCACTATATAAAGGGGTCTTCTTTCCCAAAGTTGACCTACCTCTTTCCCCCAAAGCTCCATTGTTGCTCCAAGCTCCATTTTCGCCCGATCTCTCTCCCTAGCCAATCAAACTTGTTGATTTGCTCGGGATTGGTTGAGAAGACCCAGATCTACACTTCCACCAGGAGAAATTTGATTCCCCCACTTATCCCTAGCGGATCTTGTTACTCTTGGGTGTTGAGCACCCTAGACGGTTGAGGTCACCTCGAAGCCATACTCCATTATGGTGAAGCTTCGTGGTGTTGTTGGGAGCCTCTAAGTGTTGTGGAGATAGCCCCAATCTTGTTTGTAAAGGTCCGATTGCCGCCTTCAAGGGCTCCAATAGTGGAATCACGGCATCTCGCATTGTGTGAGGGCGTGAGGAGATTATGGTGGCCCTAGTGGCTTCTTGTGGAGCATTGTGCCTCCACACCGCTCTAACGGAGACGTATTTCCCCTTAAAAAGAAGGAACTTCGGTAACACATCCTCGTCTCCACCGGCTCCACTCTTGGTTATCTTGTCCCTTTACTTTTGCAAGCTTACTTAAGTTGTATCTATTGCTTGCTTGTGTGCTTATTGTCTTTGCATCATATAGGTTGTCCACGTAGTTGCACATCTAGACAACCTATTTCATTGCAAGGTTTAAATTGTTAAAGAAAAGTCTAAAAATTGTTAGTTGCCTATTCACCCCCCCCCCCTCTAGTCAACCATATCGATCTTTTCAGCGGCAAAGCAAGGACGAGCAAATGAAGCAATACCTAGAGCTTCAAAGGAAGAAGCTTGAGATGGAGGAGGCGGACAAGAAGAGGAAGATCGACCTGGAGGAGGCGTCCTGGCAAAGGCAGCTCGACATCGAGGCCACCAACGCCGCAACCAAAGCAAAGGAGGTGGCCCTAGCGATCATGAGCGTGGACTTGAGCAAGATGAGCGACAAGACGAGGAGCTGGTTCGAGGCCAGACAGAAGGATATGTTCGACGCCGACGGCGTGAACTAGGTCGTCTGTTCGGCGCCGTTCTTTTTGGAGGCTGGCATGGATGCCGGCCACTGGGCCGCTGCCTGTGTGCCGGCGAGAAACCTACTCTTTTTTAGGGCTGGCTGTGTTGTCGGCGACAAAACAATTCATTTTGTAGGTTGGCTCTGTTGCCGACCGCTGGTTGTGTTACCGGCGAGGACGTATAGAGACCACTAATTGTGTTGTTGGCGTGAACTGGGGCCGCTGGCCTGAACTACGGCGTGGTTTGAAAAAAGGCCTTTGAAAAAATGATGCAGACAGGATGCGGTCGGGATGCAGCCGCACGTTGGGCGTACAGCCACCGCATCAGAGATGACCTGGACACGAACTCATTACCCTACCCAAACAAACAGAATTCGAATAAAACGGACGTCCGTTTGTGGTCGTGCGCTGGAGTTGCCTCACAGCTGCTATGGAGGAGCAGACCCGGGACGCTCCTACAGCCGTTCGCTGCATTGCATAATTGCATTGCCATTTCGGTGTAACAGAGTGTTGCCATTTTTTCAGCTTCGGTTTCACATGGTGGCCATGTAACGTACAGCTAGTCCTTTTCAGTTTTCCCGGATCATGAACCAGTTGGAGGCCGCCCTACCGGAGCCTTTGCTACACGCCTACACCCGAACTGAGAAACAAATTATTCCATCGGTTGGCTGCTGTTGGGTACTAGTACTACTGCTGGGTTCATGCCATCGCTCGAACTCCGCTCCACAGCGCATACTCTTCTCTCACC